CAAATTTGGTTGAAATGCCTGTACCAGAGATAGTCATCTGTCCAGCAAAGAGTTGCTGCTTTTCCTCTGAGTCCCAGACTGCACTGGGGCATTGAGCACAGCTTCCCTCCAGCCCTGTGACCACACACAGGTTTCCTGGTGGTGGGCAGCAGCAGCAGCACAGCTTTCTCATAGTGCCAAGTTGGGAGCCACCAGGCTCAGAGGAAGAGAAATATAGGCTTGAGCTTGGCTGCTGCTATCCGTCTAATCAAATTGAAGGTCATGGAGAGCCTTGATTGGAAACCACGTGTTTTTGTGATTTGGAGAGGCATGAATAAGGGACCAGAGAAAATAATTTTCTTTCTCCAAAGAATCTATCTCCAAGACCCCCAAGAGTCACTCTTTCAGAACCAGCACACCCGTGAGGTGATATGGGAAGAAAGCAGTGGAAAAGAAAGTTAATTAAAATCACCTTCTTATCAGTCTGACCCTCGAAATGTTTGTAAGTTAGATCCTCTTCCAGAGGCAGGTAGGCAGTCCTGTGCATTATGGGGCAGATTGCTTCTTTCAATTGCATTTCTCAGGCCAGAAAAGTTCCTACCTCACTGCATTGATCCCGGAGCTTTACTCAAGTCTTGGGGTGCTTCTTTTGCCTGTTTCTTTGTGGTGCTGGGAACTGAAGTTTACCCACTTTCCATCCCATGTTTGTGCTGCACTGAATGCTTTCTTGGGAAACCAGATGCTGGGTTTGCTCAGAGCAGTGTAATCATTATGCAGCCCTGGAATGTCCTCAGTTATGTATACAAGAGGCCTCACAGGTGGTCAGCCACAGGATGACCCCATGATGGAGCTTTTGGAGGTCAGCACACCATTAGGCCTTCCCACCCTCAAAGCGCTCTCTGACCGTTTGGCGAGTGAATTCCCAGACACTAGGTACTAACATATTCCTTGGTGGCATTTTCTACCCTTCTTTTGTCCTCTTCTTCAATTTCTCCCTCCCCCTCCATTGGCCTGGATTTCAAGAAAATTGGTGGCAGAAAAGTGATTTGGGTTGGAACATCCAAAAGATGTCAGATCCT